TCGAAAACTTCAAAATGTTTCATTAAAATAAGTATTTTGCTAATTAGGCACAGTTGAGACGCTCCTGGGTCCATAACCATTGAAGAAATAAATGGGCCTAAATAGATTGTAATATCAATGAACATTTTTAATGACAGAGATTAACTTAAACATAGTTGCGTACAGCAGAGAAAAAAGGAGGAAGAAGTAAGAATGATATACATATACATACATACGTAATAAACAGTTACATCATCATCATCATCACCGCGCAGGTAAACGCGAATGGCGCATGCGTCAGGAGCTCTCTTAAGCTAAACGTCGTATTATAATTTTGCTCGGTGCTCCTCTAAATTTCAAAAATCTTGTCTTCCCTAAATTTTGCCACCCAGTGCGGCTATACGAGCTCTGGCACTGGTTCTTAGTTTGTGTGAAAAACAAATCAGGTATTCTTAATTCAAATAGCATTAAATGTAATCTTATCTTTCGGCCTATAAGTATTAATAACAAAATCTATTTTTAGCATATGGAAAGAAATTTTTGTTAAATTTTTCCTCGTCAATATTTCTTAGTGCATTTAACTTAAATCTGTACTCATTGCCAAGCGTAATGTCAACGTAAAAGGTTACCATACTCTTTAATTATTAAAATTACTAATATAAAAAAAATGTTTGGACATTGCTGCAAGAGTCATTATTAAAGGTGTCATGTACTGATAAGCATGCCCTGATGAAAGCAAAATATAATGATTTGCCATGTTGGCATCAGGGATATAAAATATTAGTAGGTGCAAAATCAATGATATTTCTTTCTATGTTGAATTTTTCAGTTTGAGATGTATGCCAAGCAGATATGCAGCTACGGAGCAAAATTATTGATCACACAAATTTAAGCTAAATTATTATTTCTTCAATAACGATGTATTTATTCAGTGCCAAAGGGAAATTAAGAATCAGGACTATCCACATGTTTTATTTATAGGGAAAAATCAAATGCACATGCATAAAAGCATTAAGAAAAATCAAGTAATAAAAAATTAAAATCTTATATTATGCCCAAAGCAGCATTTTTTTTAATATTTTGTGTGTTACCTTTATTTATTAAATATCATATTCTTCGCACTTAAACCATAAAATTAATATCAATAGTAATATTGCAAAATGATTTTAAAATGAGTATATCTTTAGAATTTCTGATACATAGTCTCTCGCACGCTAATAGGTCCCCCCCCCCGAATACAGTGTTGCCATTGTTCATTTTTAAATCATTGAGATTTTTAAATAAAAACTCTTTAAAGTTTTACAAACATGAAATAGAAAATAAAATGAATTCCAAATTTGGTCTTCCAGATGCCCATATTCGGGTGGAAATGTACGTTATTCAAAATTTGATGGCTCTAGGTACCATTGTTTTATCACAATGTGAGAAACATACAAACATTTATGCAGATTCTTCATTACTTAATTCTTTAAATATGATGCAGGGCGATAATATTTGGTAGAAACAATTTGAAAAGTTAACCGACATTTATAGAGAACCAACGCAAAATGCCAAAATGAAATTAATAGTCCTTCTGGGCAAATTGCCCCTTTGAACTAAGAATTTGTTGGTGGTTTTTGTGGTCCGGATTTTAGATCATTCCGGATATTGGACATCCAGATCTCGGACTTCGTACTGTACTAAGATCTGTTTTCACTTATGCATTTACTTTACATGATGAATAAGCTCTGGGAATTTTTCAGCGGAAGTTCTTGGTTATTTCCCATTCTTTTCCCATTCTTGGTGGGGTACAAGTGAATGGATAATGTAGAAGATCTAATTTAGAACTCTATAAAATTTACAAAGAACCCAATATTGTAAAATTCTTCAAATTACAGAAATATAAATGGGCTGGTCATTTGGCTAGAATGAATAAAGTTTGCTGCTGCAAGAAAAGCATCCTGGCAAAGCCCATGAAAAATCGATCTCGGGGCAGACCCCCACTAAGATAGATTGATTGTATCGAAAAAGCTCTTAAAATTTTAAAGGTTGATGGCAAAATAATTCTCAAAAGTAGAGATGCCTGGAGAAAGCCAGATCTCATCCAGGGCTGTCGAGCCAATGAGGAAGAAGAAGAAAGATGGTTCTACATTTGTACTCACTTTGATTTTCCCATTACTTTTGGTATAGAAAAAAGTTGCTATTCTTTTAATTTTGCAAACATGATTTTGCTCCTGAAGAAAAGGGATCTGTGTCTATCAGAATGATAGCCCTCAAAAGTTTTATTCAAAATCAATGAAAGTTTTTTTTTTTTTTTTTTTTTTTTTTTGGAAAGGGGGGCTGGTTTTTAAATTACATTGCTGTATGCTTGCTAGATTGACTGAAAAGAAGCCAAAATCAGTAGAGTATAACCTTTTAAGATCTGAACTCATCAGCACATTGGCGATTTCAAATCTGGGATTTTCTGTATATTAGATCCTCAATTTAAATCTAGCAAGATCATACAGAGAAATTATAAAATTAAAAATATGAAATAATGAAAAAAAAAGCTAATATTTATTTGTTTGCTTTATTAACTATTTCTTTCAAAGTAAATTGTTTAATTTGCTTCATTTTATGTACTAATACTTTCTTTTTAATTATGTAGATAAACATAATTTCTTTTCCAGTTACAAAGTCCACTGTCCTGTAATTACTGCACAAGAACTCTTACTGAATTGCCAATTGAAATTCTTTTGTTCTCAGCAACCTCTCTGTCATTTTCTCACTATCGGTAGCGAAATTTTCTGGAATTAGAACCATACTACAGATTTTGCTATCTGTTAGTTGATTGATGAATGGAGAACTGTCATTTATTTCTATTATATCATTTTCATTTATTATCACTTCACATTTCTTCACAAATTCCATTAAATGGAAAATTTCTGAAAATGTGATGTCTGAAAATCTCCAAATTCATAGCCATCATCATAAAGCATATCTAGTGTGTCTATACACTACTGGTGATGTATCATGAGATTGGCGACTAAAAACATGTAGTTCTACAATAATTTTATCTTGCTTCTGTCATACACTAATGAAGTTAAACTTGAATTATATTAATTTGGTTATTTATTTACATTTATGAATATTTCCTGCACATGCTTATCTGAGTCCTGAATAAATTTTAATTTTAATTTTTGAATAATAATTTTCACATAAGGCTTATCCAGGTCTGGGGTTAGACGTTTTGTGGACCAGTGCAGTCTCTGATGGATCGAAATTTTTGTGTCAAGCAACTCCCTAAACTGTACAGATTTTGCCATCTCTTAATTTTGCTACTTGGTGCTTTTCCAAATTTTCTAAATTTTGCCACTCAGTGCAACTGCACGAGCTTTGGTGCTGTTCTTGGGTTTATTTGAATAACAAATCAGTTATTTTCATTTCAGATAGCACAAAATGTAATCTTTTGGCATATAAGTATCACTTACAAAATCTGTTTTTTGCATATGGAAATCAAGACATGGCAGTTCCCAAAAGAGTCTCTAATCATCACCAAATGTAATGTTAACATAAAAGCTTACAAGGTTCTTTCGTATTCAATTGCTAATATTAAAAACAAAATGAAAAACTTTTAGACATCGCTAGGTGAATCATTTCTCGAGCTGCAGTGTGTTGACGTGGTGATGAAAGCAAAAAGTAATATAAATAAAAAAAATCTGAAAGCTTTTAGACTTTTATTACACCCAAAGGGGCATTTTTTAATGTTTTGTGTGTTAATTTTGCTTATTAAATATGTTCTTTGCACACATCCACATGCATTCCAAACCCCCTTCTCCATGAATGTGTGGGCGGGTATTGTTAGCGACTACCTCATAGGCCAATACCTCTTACCTGCACGTACAAATGGCTTATGTTATCATATTTTTTTGCAAGAGGTGCTACCGAAATTGCTGCAGAATGTGCCGGCTGTCATTTGTGATCACGTGTGGTTCCAGCATGATGGTGCACCAGCCCATAACCACGTGCGGGTCCGCAATTACTCAGATGGGACATTTCCGGGCTGATGGATTGGCCATGGTGTACCCGTTCGCCAGATTTATCCAGCTCGGATTTTTTTTATGAGGCCATCTGAAGAGCATCATTTATGAGACTCCTGTTGACTCACTGGAGGATCTTGTTGCACGACTATCCATTGTGGCTGCAAGTACGCGCGAAATGCCTGTTGTTTCCAAAATGTTCGTCAATCCCTTTAGCGATGTTACCAAGCATGTAATACTGCTTGTGGTCACAATTTTGAAAATTTATTGTGAATACTGTACTGCTACAAAGACGCACTTTGCATTGATTTTGTACATAAACACATTTTCCACTCGTGTCTTTTTTTTTTTTTTTTTTTTTTTGTGTGTGTGTGTGTGTTCCTGCCTTAACCCATCACTTCAGACCCTACATTACTATAAAAAAAATGCATGTTTTAGTACGCTCCACCACCCCTCCAAGTTTGTCCCATGATCTATGAAACACCCTGTATAGTATAGCTTGACAGGGCAAGCTCATAAGAGACCAGAACTCTATGCTGGGTGCCTGTATACATTGGCATTTTATGAAATGAGGAAACAGATCAAATTGCAAATAATTTGCCAATGACACCTCTCTTTTGGAGCATCCCATTTCATTACCAATTTTGTTTTGGAAACAGTTCACTGGCAAGTATCTCCTTGTGCTGGAATTGAGCTACGACAGGCAGATGCACTCACAACTGATACTGAAAGTTCCATCTCACACATAAGCAGTCCATGTCCTGAATAATGATAAAAACTTAATATCATGCTGCTCAAGAGAGCTTTTAAGCATCAGAAAGTGACATCTGTGAATACAGAGTTATAAAGGAAATGGTTTGTTTTAGTGTTTGCTATCTTTTCATTAAAGTTCCTATACACAATTTAAGAGTAAGCATTAGAACCAAGTAATCAAATATTAAAATCCATATAGTGAAAACAGATCCCAAAGTAATAAGTATTCAAAACAAAACCTTTATTTATTATCAAGATTTCCTATCTTACCTTCTTTGTTTGTTCTAGGCATGGTTAAGCCAGATGGCCAAGGAGAATTAAAAAGTGAATACGTGTTAGAACTCAAATCATGAGGAAGAGCAGATGATACAGTTGCAGCTCCCCCTTGCATCTGCTGTGCAGACAAACTGCTTTGAAGTGTCTGGGCTACAGGACGTCCCACAACCTGAAATTGCAGTCAATAACATAAATTTGCATAAAATTACTAACATACTATCAGTTTAGATTATTTGAATATGGTGAAGCAGAAAGGGCTTTTTGTTTAAGGAAAGGGATCTCTTCGTGAAGGATTTTCCAAGGAGAACTAGCTCATATTCATGTTATAGATGAAAAAACATGAAAGCCACTCATGCAGCCAGCCCATTTACCTTTGTTCAAACCAGCATTTAGTATAAGCATTCAAATAAGTATAGCACTCAGTGGTCTTAAACACTCAGCCAGTGGTGGGACTTAATGCATAATTAAAGGACAATAAGTTTCAAACAACAGCTTTCAATAATTTTATGAGTGCACAAACAGAATACAATGAACCCTTTTAAGTCAACCACACATGATTCCAGATGATTTTGACCATTTTAATGCATTATTAAAGAATAAAAAATTTCAAAGAAAAACTTTCAATAATTTTATTAATAAACAATCAGAAAACAAGTGAACCTTTATAAGCCAAGTCATGGTACCAAAGGATTTTGACCTTTAGTGGAGGTGGATGTCTTTTTTGGAAGTAATGTTCATTATCAATGTTTGTTTTTGCTTTGAGAAATAATAGTCAATTTTAAATAGTGGTCATCATGAGAGGGTTCACTGCATTTCTAGACTGCACAAGTCCGATGAAAATGAACAAAATTTATTATTATTGCAACAAATAAAGCAAAATGGTTAAATTTCCTCAGATATTCGTTCAGCATTACAATAATCTCACAGTAGTTATCTTTAAACTACTCAAAAGTTCAACAGAATTTAATTCAAAACAGCTAGAGAAAGCATATCCACAAATTGCTACAGTCAATAAGAGCAGTTTTCTACACAAACTCTCAAACTCAACAAGAAAACGTAAAAGAAGATTATTGATGTTTTAATGGATGGAAATTTTACATTCAAGCATTGGCATCTTCCTCATCATTTTTGGCATCCTCTATTTTATCTGTTTAATACTGTGTTAACCTTTTTCGTTTTATATTCAATGATTTTTGTTGGTTTGGATGAACCAATGCATAAAGTACTATAGTAACTATAGTACTATAGTAGAATTAAACATTATAATAATTATTAATTCAAAAATAACATGGTCTAAAAATATACTAACCTGATTTAATGCTATGTGACTGGAAGTAATATCTCCAGTTCTTCCACCATCTTGTTGCCATACTCGAGCATGGTTTGCAAGATGTTCTTGTACTTGGTCCTTAATGATGTCTGGAGCTTGTTGCTGAAGGAGAGCAGAATTACCAGAATTATTTCTGTAAGCATGCAGTAGGTTTGAAGCTGCTTCAATATGTGTCAAATCGTGTTGTGTGCCATTCATTAAGTAAAATCCAGTCTGTTGACGTTGTGGTTGTTGTGTTTGATTAGCACTCTGCTGCATGATGATTTGAGTGCCTGCTTGGGCTGGATTAGTTGTACAAGTCTGTTGGTAAGGTGTAACAAACTGCATATAATTCCAAAGAACATTAGGAGCAGGATTGGCAATGAAAGTTGGAGCAGTAACCTGCTTGCTAATCATCTGATTTGGTGGGGGCTGTTGTTGAGGAGGTGCAGGAGGTGGGGCTGGAAAATTAAAGTTTGATGCAGGTGCTTGGACTACTCGAGGGAGAGCATTCTGAATATAATTAGTAACTGCATTGTTGTCACGGGCAACTTGATTAACAGCCGCTATTCCACTCCTAAACAAAAATATAAACATCATTAGAATTTTCATCAAAGTTAAAATTTTAATGTTTCCTTTATAAATCTAACTGCACAAATGCAGTATTTTAGAATACCTAATTTAGCAATGTTTAAAAACATTTACATAAGATTTATATAAAAGTTACTTAAAATGTTACATGCAGTCAAACCCCAGTATTATCAACCTAGTTCATAATGAACAAAACTTTTGATTCCATCAGACTTCCTATATACCTAATTTCTATTTTTAATATCAATTTTATGGATATCTTTATCTGAAACTTTTTTGTGCTTTTCATATATATATATATAATTTCTGAAATTTGTAAATGAAAAATTACTTATCATTGGAATTATCCATCTTTAGGCTACTCTGATAGTAATAGATACCTTTGCATTACGGTACTTTTATGTTTACCCCCACCTTTCTCTCTGATCTATACCAGCACTAATTCTATGATTTCTTTGAACTATACAAAAATTAATGGAAGAAAATCACGTTTTAATGAAACTGATATGCTTGTTTTTTCGCTGCCATTTAAAAAAAAAAAAATTAAATCTTGGTGCAATATTTGACACTGTTATATGTCATTTCACATGAGTAATGAGTATGCAGTGCTTATACATCAGAACATTTAATGCCCTTTCAGAAATTGTGAGGAATTTAGTTGTAGCTACAGTTCAGAATTCAGTCAAAGATTTCTGTAGAACTTGGGTTTTATGGCAGGTTATTAATATCCTTAATGTCAATTAATGTAATTTCTTTAGAAGTCTCATTAATGTAGCTTCCCTAAATTCATGTATTTGAATTAAATTTTTGCAACTCCAACATTTTGCTTTGCGACCCACAGTTTAAAAAGCACCATTTTAAACAAAAAATATTAGAAGAGCTATAACACCTGATTCCTGGATAAACAGGAACTACCCAATTCCTGTATGACCTGAATAACTAAGAGGCATACCATAAGAGGCTACACTGGGTCATGCAGTGACCACTGAAAAAAAGAACTTGAATGGTTTCTCAGATTTAAAGACAAAACAAAGCCTGTCTTTTTCTACTCAATGACTGATTAGGTTCAAAAAGTACAATAACATTTCTTCAGGAAAAATTTCCAAAGAATCAGGGAGTGTTTAAAAATTTGGTGGTGAGAAATGGGGGGAAGGAATGTTCGGAATGATACCTCTCACCACAACAGAGAAAATGATATTTTCAATGCTGATACAGTTGGGCTATTCTACAAGACACTGCCAAACCAAATGTTAAAGACAAAAGATGCATTGACAGAAAATTGTCATAGATTGATTTTTTTCCTTCTTCTGAATGCAATTTTGATTCTGCAACCCAAGGACCAAGGTATGATCACGAGCTTTAAGTGTCATTAGAGCAAGCAGCTCATTTCAAATATTATAGAGAAGCACAACAGACATGCAGATTACAATGTTTCACTTTTACACTTCCTGGCTTGATGGAAACCTAGAAAAGTCTTGGTCACCTGCAAATCTGAAATTTTTTAGATACAGTCAAAAGTCTTTAATCTGGACGTCCATAATCCAGAATGATCTATAATCCGGACCTTAAAGGTACAAACTTTCTGTGCATATGCATTTACGTATGCACATAATATCTTTACGCATGCGCATAATACGTTTGCGCATGCGTGTTTAATGTATAACGGACGGTATAAGCTAAGCTAAAATTATCTAATTATCTATTTCAGTTAATGTTGCAGATTGTGTTGTTCCTTAATCTTCTAATTAGATCCAGCTTATAATTTTTTGCAGACTGTTAGAGCAATTTTATAAAAGTAAACTTGAACTTTCGATTATGTCAAAAAGAATTTCTGATTCTGGAGCTGCCAAAGGATCTACAAAGCGAAAGCATGTTTCGATGTCCATTAAACAAAAAGTGGAATTGCTGCAAAAATAGATAAAGGCATATCCTTTGTTTCTCTAACCATTCCGAAATCTGTTTATCAATTTCCTGCTGTTCTGGGGGGGGACGTCGCGTCGCGCAATGGAATGGAAGTTGATATGTCAGCACTATCCTTATCTTCATGGCAGATGTTTTTATTTTATTCGACTTATAATTCCTTACTAAATGTAGTATTTCATCTCGATGTACTCCATCTTTGATATGATTTAAATCAAATTTCTCATCACTATGCGTAATGTATGCTTTAGGCATGCACGCAGTGAAAGAAATATTTAATAAAGTAAACAAATAAATATTAAGCTTTTTTTTTTTAAGTTAGATACCCTTTAGATTATAATTGCTCTTTAATTCATAAATTACGGTTTCATATTTTTAATTTTATAATTTCTGCATTCCATCTTACCAGATTTAAATTGATGATCTATAATACGGAAAAACTGATAATCCGGAATCGCCGAAGTCCCGATGAGTCCGTATTAAAGACTTTTGACTGTATGTTAATTTAGCAAAATGTATTGAAGAGAATGGTGATGAAGGAAAGGATTTGCATAATATTAAATAACTAAAGAAAAAAATAACATTTTGATATTTTTAGAATGTGCAGAATGAAATTTGTAAAAAGATATCGTTATTAATATTGTTACCATTAAGTATAAGTTATCTGAAATGGAACTATCAGATTAGATTCATCATTTACTTCCAGTTCTGTTGAAAGAAATCTGCTACAGGAATGTCACCAAATCATGTGTACAGCTTTAGGTACTAATGGTGTATCATATGACACTGTGAAGGTTTAGTACTGAAAATTCAAAAATAAGTGTTATGACATTCAAGAAGCACAACACTTGGGTTGGCCTACTGATGTTGATGAGGCCCGCCTGCGAGAACTTGTGGAAGATGAGCAGTATGCAACCACTCGAGAGTTTGCTAAGGAGTTAGATGTTCGTGCCACATCCATTAGTAGCACTATGCATCGCATAAACTTGATGTACAAGTTCACTGGGTGCCACATGAGCTGAGTCAAGCAGATAAGGACAGACATGTCAATACAAAGACAAAATCCTGGACCGGATCATCATGTGGATTTACTTCAACAGCACAGGCCCAAAAGGGCGTTGGTCTGTGCCTGGCGACCCCGTCTGCAGGATCGCGAAGCGCAATTTGACTAACAAAAAAATCATGCTTTGTTATCTGGTGGGATTGCCGTTATATTATCTTCAAAGAGTATATGGAAAAAGGCAAAACCCTTGACTGTAAGGTGTACAGCAAGACGCTAGTCCATGTTGACGCTACTATTAAGGAAAACGTTGACCTGAGTTTTGGCGCACAAAAATAATGTTCCATCAAGATAAATGCAACACCACATGTGTCAGCATTCATCGGCTAGACTCTGTATGCACTCGAATGGGGCCTTTTGCCACACTCACCATATAGCCCCAACATTGCTCTTTTGGAATTCTACCTTTTTTCAGACCTGCACCTATATCTTGGTGGTGCAATCTTCCATTCTGCACAAGACGTCCGAAATGAAGTTAATCTGTTTTTGGACTCATGCGCCTTCAGAAATTTGTACCTTCTGATTATCCATACCTGCACAAAAAAGCTGCAAAAAGTAAGGTAATGTACCATGTTGCTAAAACATATTAATGTGGTAGTCCTTTGATGTTGCCAAAATTTATGCTGCAACAGGTAAGCACATAGTATTTCCACAGATAGCTTTCCACTTCTACAGTCATTTTCACCAGTATGACTGCAGATTATGATCCTTTCATATAGAAATTTCAGTATTTTAACATAACAATGGACCACATATTGCAATTTTTATCAGATTTCTGCACACATACAGCAAAACACACTGTATTTTTTTTTTTTTTTTTTTTTTTTTAATTTTTAACAAAACAGATTGCTGTGTATGTTGGTAGAACAGCCAAAAACAAAGCTTTTACAACAGAGGAGGTAACAAATGTTATAAATGAATATTCTGAGGCAAAAGGCAAAACTGGTCAGAAATGGGTATCAAAAAGTTGTCTAAAAAATGGGTAGAAGTCATGTTTTTAGACGTAAACAAATGCTGGTAAACAGATCTTCAGAAGCACTGAAAATGATAACATTATGAAGAATACAAAAAAAAAAAAAAAAGAAAGAAAGAAAAAAAGAAAAAAGAACTCTGAATACCAGTAATATTATTTACACTGGTTTTATATATGCCAGCATTTTAATTTGCATGTGACCTAAAGCAAATAAGAGCATGAATTTCATGAATATTTTTTTCCTTGTCTTTTCAAATGTTTTCTTCTTTTTACAATTTATAAAAGAAACAGACTAAACTTCTCCTACCTTTTTATCGCAATGCAATATAAGTTTAAATTCTAAATACTTAATTCTAATAATCTGTAACTGATGTATTTAAAAATAAAAGTTTTAATGACTTAAAGTAACTATAATGCATTACAGTTAAACTGCAATATCAATTTAAAACTGGCGAGAATAATTAACCTTATTTTATGAGTAATCTTCAACTTACGATGAGTACTGTTCCACAGAATCCATTATAAGTCAATTCTGACTTAAGTCAGGGACTTATTCTATTCTTGGTATTTTAAAAAATATTTTCATAAATTAGGCTTTTATTTACGATAAAATAGTTTTAAGAAAGTATAAACTTGCATAACATTTATAAGCAGTTTATTTAAATATAAATATACATAAGCATTACATATGCACTTTATAAAAATTTACACATACCTTTCCTTTAAATTAACCAATTGCCTGATTATCCCGAGTTATCTCGGGTTCGTATATATTGCAGTTAATTATTATCCCGAAAAAAATCGGGTGGAGCAGAATTTGTCAGTATAATTTGTTTTATCATGGTTTTACTCAGCCTGGAGAAATAAAAGGAAATATGCAGCTCTCATTGGCAGTTTGCCACATTTTGTTGATTTCGCGGTTCTTTTGGCAGAACTGGTCATATGTTTTCCCTATTGTATAGAATACGTCGGCTTGTGGATTAGTAATGTATAAAGAAGGACAGTTGTGTTGAAAAAAGTAAAATAATGGAAATGATGCAAGATAGTGAAAGTGATGATTTTTCAGATAGTGATTATAAAGAGGTGGACATTTTCCAGATGTTATTCCTGGCTCTGAAAAAAAAAATAAAATAAATAAATAAAAATAAAAAAATCTATTCCAACGAGACGGTGTACCCTGTGCTCTCGTGAAAGAGATTCTAGAGGTAAGGCAGCAAGAAAAGAAACCAGGTACCAGTATACAGAATGTCAGGTATCACTTTGTGCTATCCCTTGTTTCAAAAACTATCATACAAAGATTTCATTTGCCTAAGATAACTTGGGATATTAAACTAATATTAAAACTAAATGCTTTTACACCTGCAAAAAATTAAAAATTCAACTTAAAACCTACATATTTTGGTTTGTTTTGTTTCCTTGTATTTAATAATAAAATTTTAAAATGTAAAAAATTTGCAAGGGACACAGTTAAGAAACATAAACAAAACCATATATGCAGTACCTTTAATTAAACATAACAGGTGACTTATTGTTGTTAAAGGGCAACACATGTTTGTACATGCTGGCAGTAAATTTCAATTAGAGAATTTTTAAATATTGTTGTTAAGAATCATAAATTATTAGGTTGTTGTTAGGCATCATCATCAGTCGAGAACTACTTGTACGTATGGATGTAATTGATCTGAAAATTTCCTGGCAAACTTCAGACACAGTATTCATTAAATTAAAGACAACCGATAACTTTTGCATTTTGACAACATTTAACAACTTTTCCATTTTTAATAGATAATATTTTTCTTCTCTTCAACTTGGTTGCCACAATTCTCATAACATTTGTCTCATCGTATAAATGTATGGCATGCACTTTTCAGAATATAAAATATCTGTATATCATAAAACACACATTTACAATATCTTCACTGTCAGAAAATCTGCTGCATTTTTGGCATTTTATCTTTCAATACTCAATGAATGTAAACTTTGGGCTCATAAGTTAACATTTGAGCAAATGGAATTTATAAATGTACAATAATAATTTTATGAATAATCATACTTGATTTAAAATCCTATGAAATTAACATTTTAGGTTAGATTATGAAAAGATACAGATTCTTGTGGGGAAGAAGAGGAGATTCTAAGAGTGAAGGATGTAAATAATCTCTGTCAAATTTTTTAACAGTGGAAGTTTTGCTTAAAAATAACAATCTTATGACATAATTTATGCTAGAACTTAAAGAGGTAATCAATTTCTAGTGCTAAAGACAAATTCCATGCAAACTGATATGATTGTTACAGGAAGAAAAAACAACATACTGATGAATATTATACTGCTGAATCCATGGTTCTGTTCTATCACACTGCTGAAGTCCACCCTAAACATAATAAATATTTATTAATAAATTTTAAAATATAAATAATATGAAGAATTATTATTGAATTTAAATTGTCATTTTTAAGAAAACCTACAAATTTATTTCCTGAAGAGAAATACTTCAATGAGATTAAGAAAAGCAACTAATCCTTTTACAACAATTATATTAAAAACCTTCAAAACACAATTTGGTCATTGTTAACATATACTAACTCAAACATTTTACGGTGGAACATTTACTTTCTGTAATTTAAAAGGCAGCTAAACTGCAAATGTAAAATCTGAATATAATGAATTCCATACAAGAATGGAAAGAAAATTTTCTGTTTCTTTAAAAACACTTTTATCAAATTATACAGCATTTTCCCCACTAAATTAAAGAGGCCACCAGCGGCCGAGCGGTAAAGTCGCTGAACACTGGTAGTTCGGTCCGAGGTTCAAATCCTGCGAACGGGCTGGCTGCATGGGCATTTTTGTGGTTTCCCCATGTGTAACATGTACACGAGCCAGTTTCCCTTAGAAAGTCCTCCACGAGGGGATCCCTCCCCTTAGGCAGATAGCCATCATGAGCTTTGCCATAATTAAATAAACCAAACCACTAAATTAAAATACTACACAACTTTCAAAATATGGGAATTTTAATATAATGGAATCCTTTTAGTATAATGAATATAATTAGATTTATTTTTCATGGGAAAACTAATAATACACAGACGAATGTTTCAGGGAAATCATTACTTCATACACACATGTACACAAGTATGCATGCATGCATATACATATGTATACACATACACATGTATATGAAAAAGCATATCAAGGGGGTGTTATATATAAGTATTTACTGCCCCCTTTGTATTTTAACATACCGCCTGAATTTAATTGCAATATCACATTGGTTGACATTCACATGTGATCACAGCTAATCACATGAATGATTGGCTTTTGAAAAATGTTCCCATCTTCAAATTAGTAATAGGGACCTAACTTTACACTTAGCCCTGGTTAATAAAATAATCTGGAATTCCCTTACAGTCTACTGTAAAAGATATAATTTGAAACATGAAATAATTTCCTTACATCAATGTTTTTTAACTGCGGTTCTCCTAGATTTGGAAAAATGTCCTATTACTTATAAAGGAAACTAACACGATTTTATATTATTTCTCGCTGATGACATGCGGCTAAATATAAGGTATTTTATACTGAATGCGACAAAAAGAACAGCATAGTAAGAATTCTGTAATCGATTTATTAAAGCAAAAACAAATTATTTCTAAAAAATACAAGTTTTATCTGTCAACAGCAAAAAATCTTCTGGCCATGAAATGAATGCTAGAGGCACTGTTAATTTAAATGGAATCCATGCAAGAGAAAGTGCACTGTGATTTGGAATATGCCAAAACATAATTGTTTATCATCGTTCAAAGACATTTCGCATGAAATTTGGTAAAGATTCACCACATTGTCACAACACTGAACGGTGAGTGAAGCAGCTTCAGGACATGGGCTGCTTGTTTAAGAAAACAAGCCTACGACAAACAGCAGCTAAAATCAAAGTGGTTGAAAAAATACGTAAAAGTTTTTACAAAATCCCATAAAATCAACCCAGCATTTGAATTCTGAACTCAATGTGCTCCATGTTACAGTGTGGCCTATATTACGGAAACATGTACAATTCCAGCCATACACCTTTCAGATGGTGCAAGCATTAAAACCTTCCAACAAACCATTGCATAAAGCTTTCCATAAAAATTTTGCAAGATAATTTGGAGGTATATAGTTTTGCAAACTGAATGTATGTGTTAACAGATGAAGTCTCCTTACATATGTTTGGCAAAGTGAATCATCATAATTTAAGAATTTGGGGCTTGGAAAATCAACATAATGCAACGGAACATGAGTGCGAGTCTCCGAACGTGAATATTTTCTGCTGCCATTTCCAATAGCTGTATTTTTGGTCCTTTTTTATTCATGGAAAATCCAATTAACAGGTACATTTACCAAGATATGCTATCATGGTGGTTGTTCCCTCAATGGGAGGAAGCAGTTCCTGGCTTCATTCGGTAGCAGGACGGTGTTCCATCACATTGGCATAAAAAACCCATGCCAGTACCTGAATGACAGTCTATCCCATTGTTCAATTGGCCATGCCGGGTCAAACAATATGCTATTGCTTTGTTGAGCACCGAGATCCCCAGATCTATTCCCTTGTGATTTTTACCTATGGGATTTTGTTAATACAAATTAAATTGTTCATGCTTCCATTTCCTCAGGACCTTCAGGACAGCAACTGAAGCAGCAGATAAATGATGTGATCAAATCAATAAACAAAGGATATTCTATCATGAGTGTGGCAGGAACTGAAATACCACATAGATATTTGTTAAGTCACCTAAGGCAAATACATAGACATCTATAGAAACTTGGATAGCTATAGTTTCACTGTAGATTTGATTTATCAAAAAGTAACTACAGAATTCAGAAATACTTTTTCCCTCCCATTTGATATGAAACACACTGTAGATTGGCTATCCTTCCAAATACCTGTCAAATCTATGAGGTAATTTGTTCCTTGTTCTCAATGCCCATAAGAAATTAAAAGGATTTGATAAGAAACTTGATTTGTGAAGTTAGCTGTGTAAAACCGAAAAATCTTTCACCATTTCCAACCTTAGAATTATTTTTAGTAGAAAATTATATGGTTATTGGAAAAATGATGAAATGACATATGTCTGCATCTTGAAATGATGAGGTCATGATTTGAAACTTATTTTTCAAGTGGTAAATAAAACAATTTTTTCATGGGTTCTTGATCCGTTCCATTATGACTTTAAAAATAACAAACTGTTACTAAATGAAATGTAACAGTTAACTGACCTCTCTAATGTTACTCGACTTAAAGAAAAATTCCAAGCTGAAAATGAAAAGGTTTTCATTATTACCTCAAATAAAAAAAAAAAAAAAAAGGACCAATATCAACTTCATGTAAGTACCAGTCTCAGACTTAAGCTTACCAGCATTCATAAAAACACAGAACAGCTGTGCAAGAATAAACAAATGCATCCAAATTATTAATGCTAGTGTCAACATTTATTTCATTTTTAGTTAGTAAGACAGGTATTATCCACAGTCTAATGGCCTTGAATTATTATCAATATAACTTTTAAAAGTATAAAAAACAATATAACTTTTCTTCTATGAACTTAGTTGATTAAAACTAATATAAAATTAAATGAATTTTAACTAACTGTATTTTAGAAATATAAGTATACTAATAGCAATATATCAGGGTTTTGTACACATTTCTGCACACAGAAATGAAGCATTTTTGAGGACTTTTAAGGACTATCAATGAACAAATTAAGGCTAAATCGGCCAAGGGAAAATGAATAAATTAAAGCAATTATCTACTCATGAACTTTACTAATGCAATACCATTCTAAGAATAGAACATTTATCAAGCAATTTATCAAGCAATTAGCATTAAGTTAACAATATTTATTTGTTGAAACAGTTATATTTTACACTTACAATGATGGGATATATTTTAGAAAAGATTAATGATATTGTTGCGTTTTTCTTTTCTGACACCAGTTGTTACGTTATTTTCTTCTTTCACGTTCGTACGTGGTTCGTGTGAAGTTGGAGTGATTAACAATGACACTACTTGATGAAGTATTGAAACACACTTTATTGGCCAGTATTGTCAGGACAGCTCCAAAACACATTTTTACAGTCGTCGATGAACTACTATAAACACGCTGACACGATCAGCGACACAGTCTCCAGGTTATCAGGCTATCATAGTGGAGACAGCTTTACGGCAAAGCACTAGAGTACAGCTTCTGACTCTGCTTGGTCATTCTCGGAACTTCATGTACTCTTGACACTCTCCACGCTACAACTCGCGATGCACTCGACGACACACAGAGCACAGCTCCCGACTCTTCGGTTCAGTCGTTCCCGGAGCTCAACACACTCTCTCGGCGATGCACTAACCGCGATACACTACGAGACTCTTGCTGTGCACTCGATGACCCACTCGGCACTCGCTGCCCAGCTGTCAACTCAATCCACTCTGCAGGGATTGACAAGCTAGACGAGACACCAACTCAATACTAACTCTCCACATACCAGCAGGGTTTATATAGCTTTTGGCTGGTGTTCGAGAACATTCTGGGCTAAATTGGTAAGAATTCGTTCCAGAAGGTTCTCCATCCGTCCTTGGCATATCGCCAATTTTGCCACCAAATGCACGATTTCTCGCCAAATGTATCAACCCTAAAACTGCTTTCCGAGGAAGCTATCTCACCATGCCTGTACATTTCATAACAATATTTTATTTAAGTTTTACTAACATTTAGCTTTATGTTGATTCTTTCTTTTATGCTTCATTTTATCAAGCACTTATTCAGTCCAGAGCCTATTTCATGTTAAATGAAATCAATGATATGATTTAATGATATGATTAAATGAAATCAATGATATGTTAAATGAAATCACGTTAAATGAAATAATGAGCAGATTTCATGTTAAATGAAATAGGTTCAAATGAGAGGTAAAATCATGACAGCATTATTCATAACAGAAGCATGGCTGTTGTCACCGCTGCTGCTTGCCTAGAAAGACAACAGTGCTGGTGACAATGTTAGTGCGTTTAGTTGGCGTTGAAAGTTAGTTGTGCTTTGTCTGTCTGAGGCAGTTAGTACCATAGCTTTGTATAAAGTTGCTAGACTTTTAACTAAGTTAATATGCTGCAAAATTCCAATAAGCTGTGTAAGTGATAAGTTGTTTTGTATCATTAGCTGTAAAGAATAATGTTTTATGTTGTTTTTTATGATATTGTGTTTATCTTGCATCTGCACCAAGGATTAAAGACAGGCAATAACTTGGTTTAAAAACATAGAGATGCTTCTGAGGGTGAGCAATCAGTTACAAATAATTAAATAATGAGGTATTCAACCCTTAATGTTATACGTTTTTATTACGATTATGACTGAGATTTCAACCCCAATCTAAGAACATTTTAAAGTTTAAAAATAACAGACAATTACACATATAATTTATGACATAGATTCTAAAACAATATCAGGATAATTACACATTAAAAGCTACAAAGCAATAACACACCTCAAACTATTTATGCATCTTTTTAATGAAAATTTTCCATATATTTTAGCTAATTTATATCAACAACTTCTCTTTAGAATCTAAGTTTATTTGTTTCAATAAACAAATCATAGTTCCTACTATTCTCTGCTTCATGTCCTAATTTTTTAATGTGTCATCGTGGTGTTAGCATTCTTTTAATAACAATTTTCTTTCCCTTTATGTAATCAATATCTTTCTCAATAAGTATCTTCAATAATTACAGAATTTTCAGATTTAATTAAAGATTGCTGTTATTCTAAAAAAATTGCATGTATTTATAATGCATTGAAGAAACTGCTAATGTTATGTCTTTAATAATATGTATATTGAGAATAACTACAAAATGACAATTGGTCATTACCAGAGCCATAAAGCCATCACCAGAGCCGGTATGACAGAAATTTGAGAATTTATTAAACACCAAGCAACAAAAGCTAGAGATGGTAAAATTTTTAGAATTTTGAACAATAATTGGGCAGCACATTTAGAACCCACAAAAATTTCAACAACAGGTAAAATGAGTAGTGTCAGCCCTGTCTATGGTGTACTTAGACATAAAAGATAAAAATATAAATATTTTCCAGTAAGTAATTCATTTCTTTGGTAAACAATTGACATATGAAATGAAATAGCTTTTGGATCTGTTTCAAACATTACATTAAATAACATTGTTTAATAAGGTGGATATGCTTGTTTTGTGTTGCATAATAAATTAAATCTTGGTGTAATATTTGACACTTTGAGTCAAGAGCTCTATAAATCCCCCTAGACTTTTTAACATTTATGGAAATTGAAGATAACTTTTTAAAATCAGAATTTAGAGTTAAATATTTCCAAAATTATGTTTCTAGGGTTTAAAGGATCTGTAAAAATTCTGTAAGTAAATTTTTAGTTCTCCACGAATTATAAAATTGTTAACAGTGAAAAACATTTCAATTGAATCATTTTCCACCCTATTCTTCCAAATGGTGGTTTTTTAATAAAAACTTCCTTCCCCAACAAGGCCTCTTGACAGATCAAACAGTACATGAAAATTACATGACCATTTACAAACAACTTTAGCAAATGATTTAAAAGCAATAATTCCTCCTGTTATCATTTTTGCATCATAAGCTATCTTTCTAGCCAAAGCTATCTTTCTATTCTTTCTAATTTTTAAAAAAATTCATACAGTTTATTATATATGTCTTCTGCTCTTATATATTCTTCCAAAGAACAGATCTTCATTGATGTTTTCCTGATAAATGTACCCAATACATACTAACAAATGAACTCTTTTTGAAATATCACTTGTTTTGTTCATTTGAATTGCAATTCTACTGGTGACAAAATTGTTCAATAATGAAAATTTAAATTTTTCACCATATGTACTTTGAAGTGTTTCTGCCATTTTAATAGCAATAGGTAATACATTATATTCTCTGATGGTGTATGTGTTTTATATTTAGCTGTCATATATAAAACTTAATGGCATGAGTAACTATTTTCTAAAAAGTCCAAAATTTCTCTGTTTTCCTTTATTTAAAGATTTGACAATTATTCTAAATATTCTTTTGGTTTACTGATGTATGAAGGATGACTGGATTCAAGATGCCTTTTTAAATTTGATAGTTTCATGCTCATCAGAGCCAAAATGTTATATCAATAAAAACAAAGAAGGCGGTAATGAACAAACAAGTTGCTCATTAATGCCATGGTTGCTGAAAGTAAAATCAAAAGGGAAAAATGTCTCACCATATTTTCTTTTTTACACCTTAGATGTTTCATTCTAATTATTATATCTGGCCTGAACAGACTTTGTTGCATTGTCTTTTGCAACATTACCTTTGTCACTCAACTTCAATACAGCATACAATTATACAATTATGGTTTTAGAATTACACTGTCCAGAAAATGTAGTATAGTAAATTAAAGACACTAAAGGGTTAAGACCAATGTTTCTTTAAATTCATGTACCTGAATTACATATTGGTGATCCCATTTGGGTTGCAACCTAGTTTAAACTGTCAATCATTGTTTTAAAGTGTGAATTTTCAGTTTCTGTATTAATAGAAAAATTCCTTTCTGTAGAGATGCAAGTCCATGTGGATAAGATTAAAACCATTTTTGCAACTTCCCATGCTTATGTTTAGTGAAAAGAAGAGAAAATAAAAGAACATAAGCATATTAATAGGAAAACTTTTAGGTTCAAAACTATAAAATTCAAATAATTTTGTTTTCTGTGTTCTTCTAAAATTTCTTTAAAGAGGGGGGAGGGCGAAATTTATTATAAATAGTCTATAATATTATAAAATTTTTTTAAATATGTCTATGTGTTAATACCGTGGACACATCTTCTATTTTGTCACATTTTTCTGGAATCTTCCCTGTAAAGTGCAAAATGCCAGACAATTTTTTTTTTGTCTGGCATTTTGCTGACACACTTTTGGGGGGACGGGGACAGAAGAGTATGTGAATTTTACATAGGAAACTTTTACATGTTTGAATATTCTGATATAATTACATAGAAAAAAACTTAATAATTACAGGTTTAAAAATTTATTTTTTATAAGAGTTACATTAGATACACTTCCTGCTGCTGCAACTACTTTATAAACTTATAAACTTTAAAACTGTGAACAAAGATTAAAATAACTCCTCAGCTGCTTATATACATATATAACTATAAGAAGGCTGATTTCTGTTTATTCCCTACTATTTAAAACAAGGACTTTACATTATTTGAAGATATTGATCAGTTTTATTTTTAATTTTATTTATTTAAATATTATTTCTATTTAAATCTATTATATATTTCCTAGTTTTGGAAAAGGTTACAATTTTCTCTGACTTTTGCAGACCTTTTTCTTATTTTTCTGACTATGATTTTTCAGGTGAGTGAGAACCAATCATGTGAATACTGAAACAGCCTACCTGTTACCAATAATTACACTGAATTTTGTTCATTAGTTTAATTTTTTGAAAAAAGAACACATATTAATTTTAAAAGTATTAATAAATACAGCAGACATACCACAGAATGTGTTTGTGCCTGAAACTGGTTATATTGCTCAGGAGGCAGATGATGCACAGGAGCTCTGCTTACGTTCAGCTTAAAGAAGTAAATGTAAAATTGACACAGTCTAACATATAATCAAGTATGAATGATTCTTTATAATAACATAATACTGAACACATTTTTCACAATTTCATACCTCTTTCACTACCTGAGAAGTTATACAATTTTCAGAACTGGAACGCAGGTGATGTGCATTTTCAACATGATTAGGTGGACGAGAATTTTGCCTAGCAACTGCCTCTTGATGCATTGACTAAAATAAAATAATTACACTTATAACAATATTAGGAAACACACAAAAAATTGAATTAAATGAAAATAATACAGCATTGTGAGGCAACAGATTTTAACTTAAGTAAATCTTAATAAAATCAAATTATTTATGGGAATTTTTTAACAAAATTCGAAAACATTTAAAAGCCATTTATTGAAATAATGAATATAACATATATGTTTCAAAACTTAATGCTATATTTAAATATAAATTCACAACTAGTGTAATGTAATTTGAACATCCTATTTCCTCACCACACTTTTTGCACAGTTATCTGAGGCAGTCTGTCTTCAGACCATGCCAATTATTTTGAAGACAGGGTTATATAAGTATTTATTTTTACAGAGTATTATGCTTAACAGAAGTTATGATTTTAAAACAGATTTTTATATTGAATTGTTAACAATCATATTCCAGACAGTCTGAAATTCTTCTCAATTAACTGCATGTAAATAGTCCATTTCATAGGTGTCAACCTTGAAATATAAAAAAATCAGGAGGTTTTTGTACCAGCAGGTTTTTTTTCTGCTTTCTGTATGCCATTTCAAAAGAACTCCAAATTGACTTAAATTCACTTTATAATGAATGATTCAGGTTAATGAACAACATAAAATCACTTTCTGATGTAAAATATATTAATATTTCAGTAATTTGAATTTAACAAACATTCTCTATTCGTAAAATGCAAATTATAATTAAATTTTAAATGAAATTGAATTACAAATAAATGATTAATTATTGCTGCGAACTAATCCAAAATATCATTTAAATTCTGAGAATATATGTAAATCAAGTGCAATTATCAAATCTATGAATATATAATAAATGTATAATATATAATTCCAATAAATTTTTTAATCTTAAAAAATTATAAAAATACATAAGTGAATTATTGTTGAGCAGGCAGGAGATAGACTTTATCAAGGGAAAGTTGCCTCCAAACCTAACTCTTCAATTATGTTCATTTGTTCTCAGCCTTCAATCACATTTGTTCTTGGTCCATACTTCTTTCTTTGAACACCTATGAAGGGGTCATTTTAACAGGTATGAAAAGGTGCTCCATCACAAATGCTGTATATGCAACAGTGAAATGCCATTGACATTGTAAGTACACTAAATGGTGCTCCTCCACTCAATGCCATGTGTGTCGGCAAGTACTGCAATTAGGTTTGGAGGCTACCTCCCCTTGAAAGGTCTGTCTCCTGCCTGCTCAACAATTATTCACTTATGCATTTTTATAAATTTTTAGGATTAAAAAATTTATTGGAATTATATATTCATGATTTTTGACTTCACTTGATTTACTTATGTTCCAATTTAAATGATATTGTAGATTAGTTTGCCGCAAACTTAATATTTATTGTAATTCAATTTTCATTTCAAATTAATAACTTTTTGCTTTTTACGAATCAGAATGTTTGTTAATTCAAATTTCCTTCCTTGCAATGGTGCAAGAGAATTATTTAAATTTAATTTAACTTTACTATATTCTTTTGAAAAAATTAATATTTAAGTAAATATTTTGAATTTTATATTCTTTAGCTAACTTCATTTCGCATTTTTTTTTACACATTTATGCTGAGAAAATCCTGAGTATAGCAGAAAATAAATTTCTGTTTATCACTCTTAAATATGACAAAATGTACATACAATATTCTGCAGATAAACTTATTAACTTATCTACTAATATAAAACAAAAATTAATACAAATATTAACTAATTAAAAATTGGTTGAATCTTCATTAAAAGTTGCATAAATGTCTACAGTAGATTAAAATAATTCAGATAAAGTAAAATGTAATAAGAAAAATTATGTTGAAAATCACTAGCGATAGAAGAATGGAATTTGCACAATTTTTATGTATTGTTGGAAAACATTTTTCCTAAGTACAGGCAAAAAAATTAAAAACCGGGAGACTTGGTTATCTACCAGGAGGCCAGAAGATAAGATGAAAACCTGGGAGAATTGCCAGCTATGACAAATTAATTCTAAGTGCAAATAATTAATTTCAAATCTAAAAATTAATATAAAAAATAATGATTATCTGCTAGTATCAAAAAGAATCAAACAGAAATATTAAAAAATGAGTCAATTAACTTTCCTAATTATAATATTAAATTATTATCAACAAACTCCTAATTTTCCTGTTATGATGAATCACTTTCCTGTGTGATCCCAGAGATTCACAGATATTGTCATTTTTCAGCATCTTGACAGTTAAATCATGATCAGAAATGACACTGAAATTCCGATTTTCTTAAAATTCATCTGAAATACCTGTTTCACACACACAAAGCCCCGCCCCCAAAAAAACATAAACACACAATTTGTGAGAAAATAAGATATTTCATTTATGCTATATGATGAAATATTCAAAAATATAATTACCACATTATTTTCTTTGACAATTTCTTGCACTCTTCCATGAATATTGGATGAAATTTGAGCAGCACGTTGCTGAAGTATTGCCTGTAACACAAGAGCAAACAGTAATTCATTACTCTACACTTATATATCTTTGGCAACATTAATTAGCATTCTAATGTTACAAAATAAATTTTACTATAATAAATACATTTCTTGAATATAAGAAATTTATTTTACTTATTTGCAAGGACTAACGACAGCACAAGAGAGGAAGGTGTATATTTATCGGAATTACAAGTTTTCAATGTGCCCACCTTCACAGACAGTAACACACTGCATGTGGGAAATTGCTGACAACAATGATGAGTATAGCATTGCTAGAAGAATCTATTCAACTTCATGTTTTACCACACCTTTCAATTCTACAACACCTTTCAGTCTCATGGATTTGATGTGTACACCTTAGATTTCAGATAACCCCAGAATCAGAAGTCCATCAGAATGAGCCCAGAAGAATACAGTGGCCACAGAACTGCAAAGTTACAGGAGATGACTCTCATCTCCAAACTGCCATTTCAGCACTTGCCAAACACACATGGCATTGAGTGGAGGAGCACCATTTAGCATACATATAATGTCAATGACATTCTGCTGTTGCAATTCTGGAATTAGGTAATTCTGAAAATATTTTGTTGCATATACAGTCCAGAAATCCACAACGCTTGGGACCAGAGGTTGTACGGATTTTAGGACAGAGAAGATAATATTCAGACTAAAAGTGCAAAATAAATAAGGCATATTAGATACATTTAATTAAATATATATACTTAATCAGTAACTATATGTATTAATATAAAACTGATTATATTATACGGTCATTTACATTAGGCCCTCTATTTTTAAATCAATGAATTGCTTCCCCTTTTTCTCTCAGGAGTAATCCTGAAATAGGTACCCCATCATTGCCGCTGCCGGAACCACCGTGAAGCAGCGTCCAGGTTTGTCGATTCGCCTCATGTAAAGATTCTGGTCGGTCCGGTGTTTAAAATCATTGTTGCTGTAAAATTTCAACAGCTTTTCTTTATTGTTTCTATACATACACACTGTGACAATTCCATACATTCTCTATAACGGCAGTAGACCTGCCTACTTTAGCAGAATTTCCCTTTTTTCAACCATCAATGCAACATGTTTACGTTTTCAACGTTGAAGCGAAAAGACGAGTGGTTTTTATCTGTCATTGTATTAAAAGTGCTGAAATTTAAAATATTCTTAATGTATCCACAAAAACCCGGTAAAAAAAATAAAAAAAAAAAAAAAAAAAAAAAAAAAAATTACTAAACCATCTTGTGAAATAACAAAGCTCAGAAAGTACAACAACATGAAGCGCGAACTTGAAAGAAGAGTTAATTGTCTGCTTTTTTACCTTGATGCAGATTGGAGATGAAGAAAAAAACTCTTATTATGATGTCAATAATATGGTCTTTCCATTATGATTCATTATTATTCGATAATTCTCACGTCATTATTCAGTATTTTTTCTTCAATATTTCGTACTCCATGTTGCAGTTTCCGGAACCTATAAAAACTAAATGTTTATATTTTGAGAGGCAACACGGAATTTTAGGAGTTGGCGGATTTCAGGTCGGCGGATTTTCGGTATTTGACTGTACAGCATTTGTGATGGAGCACATTTTCATACCTGTTGAAGTGACCCCTTCATAGGTGTTCAAACAAAGAAGTACGGACCAAGAACAAATGTGATGCTGCAGCACACAGTCACTCTAAATTCATGTAAAGCTGCTGGTGCCAAATCATAAGGATTTTCTTCAGCCCAATAAACACAGTTCTTGGAGTTTGCATTTCCAGTTAAGAAGAAATACATCTTATCCATCCATAATATCCATAGCAGCCACCTGCTACCTTCATCATACCTAATGAGAAAAACCTTCACAAAGCTGAAATGCTGTTGCTTTCTGGGCATACAAGAATCAATAAAGAAACAACTACAGAAGCTTATGCTGTTGCTTTCTGGACATGCAGGAATCAATAAGGAAACAACTGCAGAAGCTATGGTTTCAGTATATGCAAAGTGTGTGCAACACTTCTTGCAGTATGCAAAGGACTGCAGTAATCATATCATGCACTGTCACAACAGCTTCAACAGGAACAAACACATGGTTGTCTGGATCATAATCGCATGTGCATCCTTTTTTTTTTTTTTTTTTTTTTTACCAAATCATGTACAGTCTTTATGAACATGAGCCTCAGCTTATAATTTTGCCAATTAACTCACACAGCTTCAGCAGCATTTTCCCCATTCGGATCAAATAGCTTTATCAACTAACCTTGTTATTTGCCTGTAAGTATCATCTTGTTAACACATTTGAACACCTATTGAAGAAACTATCTTCCCGCATTGCTTATTAAAGGTCTCTATAAGCAATGCTTTGCGCATGGCGTTCTGTGATTGGTGTTTCTATTAACTATCCCTGTGAATTATGCAAAGTAAGTTAATGCACCTCCTCTCCATATTATCATCTGTCCTTTACAATGCTCTTCTTTGCAAATGTTTTATGTGGGCAGTTTTCATCACACATGTGTCTTTTTAACACCATTTATATTTTTTTAATGTGATGATCATTTTGCGGAGGAAAAAAGTGGGTGTTGTCATTTGAAAGTTTCAAAATGTTTTCATTGTAACCCTAACCATGAGAGCTTATTGTTTTAAATCATCACAATCTTAAGTGCATACCTTCAAATAATATCTTAAATTTCATTTCAATTGATTGGGTGGATAGGCCACTTAGGAGTTCATATATTGGAGTTTTTTTTTTTTTTTTTTTTTTTTTTTTTTATTTTTGACTACTCCGCATATATTTTCTTATAAAACAAATTTTTTTAAGTATCCTAAGCTGTATATATATATGGTCTTGCCGGTCAGAAAGTTAATATTAAACTTAAATGCAGCATACTCACACAACTGCCTCAAAATGCTGAAGTGAAATGGAGATTTGCTGATCTCTCATAATAAACAAAAAGCAAGATATATTTTTCATAAAGTCTTAAATACATTAAGTAACTAATGCCTGAAAGTTCAGCTACTAATTTTTAAATGCAAAGAGTATAAAAAAGTACATGTTAAAAAATATATCATTTGTATCTTATAATACAGAAATAATACTTTATTCAGTTTTCATGCAAATGCTAAGAATAGTGGCAGATTTTACTTTCATTAAGAAAGAAGCTTTCTAATTTTGTTCATAGCAATTGCCACATAGGCTTGCTTTTGCTAATAAAAGTTTCTCTAATGTGTAATTGTTTTAGTAACAATGTTGAAAATCCTCTTGCAAATCTGCATTATTATTGAGAATTGCAAGATGGTCAACATTATCCTAGATAGTTCACTGAAATTTAAATTTCATCAGTTCCTTTCAGTTTTCCAATTAAACTCCACTGGGGGTCAAACCTTGTTGGTTTTATAACTTTTTCCAAGTTTTCTAAAATAAGTAAACTGCAAAGTTACAACTTCAATTTATCAATTGTAACATCAACATAATCCTCCTTCAAAACTAAATGAAGTAAAACTAGAAATTTATTTTAAAAAAATCTTATATCAGAAAAAGATGCATTTGCTAGAGCAGAAACATCTGCAATTTTGCAAATGACATAACTTCATCGTTGTTTGGAAATTTATGCATCATGTAATCACATATTCAATGCAATCAATAACTGAAGATTCATTTTTCATACCCATTTCTTTAACAGCTGCAGCCATTTTTATCCTTGCAACTGAGCATTTCTTAATGATTTCACTATTGGGAAAAAATTTTCTGCGTAAAGCTGCAGCATGATCTGATGCATTCAGTGGCAGTTGTGCTCCAGTAAAGAGGAATTCTGCATTAATAACTTTTTGGTTCTTTGTTTCCACAGTAAAATTTCATTTTCCATTTTAATTTTCCATAACTCACATTGTCTTTGAGTTTTTGCATATGAGCATGTTTAAGAACATCAGTCCTTCCACCATGCGAAATCAAAAAATTGTACACATCGCAAATATATTACATTTCCTTGATGAAATAATAGAGCCATCTGTGTACAATTTTTTAAATGTACTTGAATAAAATATTTAATCATTTTTGCAGAAATAACTAAGACAAAAAATCCCATTATTTAAACTATTTCTCGAAAACACATGAAAATCACAGCGTTCTGCGGTAAGACCAAACAAAATACCAAACATGGTCTTGTTTTGTGCTCACTGGCTAATGTATGCTCATTGGAAAATTGGAACATGAAGTTTATTGACACATCTGCTTTCACATATAAAGCAGAAGCACATCATAATGTCTCTCTGATGAAATGATTTCTTTTTGATTCAGATTCTGCCTCTGTCATGTGAAGATGGAATTTCATTTCTTATTTCATAACTAAATCAAACTGTGATGATAAAAAGCAGGACTTAACTAATTTTCTTAGCACCACTAACATTAGCCAACTATTTTCCGTTCCTTCGTATTTTAAACTTCTGGTTCCAATTCACATTTGCTAGTAGAGAGAATATCTGCATTAGTTAAAAGCTATTTTTAGAGACTTCAGTTCTTTTTACCTGATTGTTGCCTTATTAACTTTCATTTAACATTATGAGACTGATTATACTTGTTTATAACCATATTTCTTAATTAACAATTTATCAATCATGTTTGTTTCAGTACCCTAAAGTGCACATGCAATACTTTTCACTATTACAGTTATTAAACATTCAATAAATACAGTCTGATTAAAATACAATGTTGAATTAATATTGCAAAAACTTTACATTTTGATACAAACAGGTAAATATATTACAATTGCTTTTATTTAATCAGTTCTCCAGAGAAGAAAGTTTCAGATCAGAATAATTTTATGCAAGGCAATATATTCTCACCATGGCTGCACCAAAATAATTTCATGACTTCAAGTTTTGCACCGATGGAGTGTTTGAAAAAGAGAAGGGAGGGGGCAAAACAACTTATCAGAAAGTTGGACACAAAAAATCTTTTTATTAGAACTTAATATAATTTCACCAGGATTACTACTACACACATGATTATATGCATATATATATAAATAAACAGTTCTTTATGCAATATATATATTTATTTATTTAAGATTGTACCTTATTGGTAAAAGGATAGATAAAGTAAAGATAACATCACATCAATCTTTCACATTTTTTGTACCCAGACAACTTGCTACACTTAGCCCATCATTCGCTTCAAATTTTTTATTTAAATCCTGTGATTAAGTAATTATTCAACATAACCAGGCTATGCAAGCCAACTTGTCATTTTATTCTTTTTACATCCAAGGCAACTTTGTTGATACTTTCTTAACTTTTATACCTCATTTAATAATCTCTGCTTTTTTCAGATTTAATTTCGGAGATGCTTTCGGTTCATAAAGTAACAGCAGACTCGCCATCTTTTTCCAAAATCTCTTTCAGAATTCCCACTCCCTTATTTTATAAACGATCTCTCCATGAGACCATCTGCTTTTTGGTTGCCAAAACATCTAATCTAGTTCCATGATTTAAGATGAAAAGTTGTAAATTAACAGGCTTCATCTGTCCCTTTAATCATAATTTGTTGAATGAAGTTAACATTTTTGCATGTTCATTAAAATGTTAAATACAGATAATTTATTTTTATTAATGAAGGGCTATAGTTATGTCTTTTTTCACTTACTGCAAGGCACTTGAAAAAAATGTCAGTCCATCAATTATGTTGTGAATTAAAAAAGCTTGGGAACCAATAATTTACTCAATGAAAATAAATAAGGAAAAGGATACCTTAAGATCCACAAGAAAAAGCACTTACGTTAGAATTTGAAACATATTAAGAACTGAAATCTCAATTACATGAATTCTTGTAATAATGCACAAAAGGAACTCAAATATCCTTATAATAGGTATCTCTCAGAATTACCTTTCCTTAATTAAAGTCACACCGAATTTAATCGTCAGCTGATTCAGTCTTGAAATTCTGACTTCAATAATGTAAAAACAAAAATTATAAAGTATTTGTATATTTAGAACTGGCAATAAATCACTTTACAAGCTTGATTCTGGAACAAAATCAGAATTAATGACTTGAATTATCTCCCACTGAAGGAGAGATTCATCCATCACTGCATTACTTTTATCTGAAAATATTAGTCAATTCTTTTTAGAATAATAAGTATGAGGTGATAAGATCTCAGTCTACCCTCACCTGCATTGCAACATTTTGCCGTCCACTCCTCCTTTCTCTTCCACTTCCCATAGTAGTATCTTTGTTACGTCGCTCATTCTTTTCAGTTTGACTTTCTCGGTCAGCATCAGATTTTTCCTTACGCTGCTGAGCATCATCCAGTTTGAAACGCACTTCCTGTTGAGGGACACCTTCCCCGTGCCCAGGTTTGGAACGCAGTGATGTAGCAGGAAGTTCTGTTGCAGAGGTATCTAGGAAAAAAATTTCATAAATTGAAAACTGCCTTTCTCTGTTTCACAATAGTTTTTACATTTATGAGCACATGTTTTTTTACTTTTTCATCTAAAATGCCCAGATATCTTTAAAAATTAATAATAATGCAATAATTTTAAATACAACCAATTAAATTTTTGGTAGAGATGGGTTTTAGGGCACTAAAATTACTTTTCATTTTACATAGGACTTTTGTTTACCAAGTTTCTTTACAACAGTCATTTGAATATTTATTTTGTGGATCTGGTATTTTAATAAACTGAAAGATGCAATAAAACTGCTAGAAAGATACAAAAAAAGTCAGCTCTTGCATCATGCATTGAAGCTGCTTGAAGGGGCTGCTCAGAGAAGCTGCTGCTCAGAGAAGGGGAGATGGAAAAGAGGATAGATCAATGGGGACCCAAGATCGTGACACCTGTCTCACCAAGATGATCCCCTGAAGGGTTAGAATACCTTGGGATTGCCTCAAGGGCTGGTAGTTCGACCCAGGTTTAAATCGCAGTGAAAGGGCTACTGCATACGTATTTTTGTAGTTTTCTCTTTGTGTAACATGAACAGAAGCCAAATTCCTTTAAAAAATACTTTCTGAAGGTAACTCTCGCATTATGTAGATAGCCTTCACATACTTTGCCATAAGTGATTAAAACAAACATTTTCATATATAACTAAAATAATTTCATTAGTAATCTAAACACTTACTAGTCATATTATGCAATATGCAAGTATAAATTGAATAAATAAATAAAATAAATTACTATTGCTATACAGCAATGAGGAAGCTGAAATCTGGATATTTAAGATATCTAAGAAAGTATTTAATATAACTTTATATTAAGTTTCATTTTGAAGAACTATAATTAGTGAGAATTATTTTGAATAGAGGACTTTAAAAAAAAAATTTGAAAAATGTTAAAGAGGAAAAAACAAGAATTTACAAACTAAGAATACATTGGCAGTTAATATGAGAAATTATAAACAAACTCGATAAGAAACTAATATTGCCCTTCCAACCACAATAGCAAGATGTATGTTAATTTATAAAATTAGAAGAAAATCAATCTTAAATTAACAATGGCTTTATGCCCCTCCCCCCAAAAAACTTTTGCAGTTAAGTACCCCCCTCCCCAAACTTTATAAAATCAATGTCAGTCTAGGATCAGTTTTGTTTGGTTTGATATTGGAATTCTCCTCAATAATTTAACATTATTAGTTATCAGGTAATTTCTTTTTCTTTTATCAGAATTATTAAAAATGCATGCAAAAGCTATAACCAAACAAACCAGTTTATCATTTAAATAATCTTTTCTAAAGATAATTTATATGGTCAATTTGCATAAAATAAATTAGCAACTGACTTTCTGTTTGTACTTAAGACAGTACCAAATATTTGCCACAATTAATAAATAAAAATTAAAAAAAAAAAAAAAAAACTGATGTGGTCAGAACATAACCTCCTGCCAATTCCATATTTCAAACAGCAACAAGCTTTAAGTATCACTTCCAGCTGATTGTTTAAACAAAATCTAATTTCTTGTTCCAATAAATAGAAAGGTCTGTATCACAAAATGCTGAATTATATTTTATTAGGTATAATTGGTCATTTGTGAAAACTTGTTATAGCAGCATAATCAAATGTTTGCTACTTAACTTTTCTTATTAAAAATTACATTATATGATGCAGCTGAATAACATATAATTTAAATGGTATTTAATTAAAGAAAGTATTTATAATATGTTTAACATAAATACTTGCCAAAATAGTTGCCATGATTTTAATTTTCTATGTTATTTTGATTGCATCAAAAAGTCGGAATTACTCATTCTGATCTGTTCATAGATCCTCAGGATATTTACGTATCAGTAAACAATTTTGCAACATGTTATGGTACATATATTGAATGATAAATCCTGCAAAACTATTGCAGTAAAATGTTATAGTTTATATATGCAGCATTAAGGGCTGCAAAACTGTTAAAGCTTCAATTAAAGTACCACTTCTGGTTGCCTAATTTTACCCAAAAATCCTAATAATCTCTTTATTCAAATACAGAAAGTTTAAATACTGAAAAAAGAAATTTTTAGAAGTTTATTGTAAATGTTATCATGAATGAAAAATTAATCACAAATATAAACAGACAGACAGACTTCATTATAAAAATAGTAAAACGTATTCTAATTTGTGCCTCCTCACTAAATACTTACTTTTGAATTTTGGAATGAAGCATTATCTTTCGTACCTAAGCATATAGGATGGCAGAAGATGGAGAAGTGCAATTCATTTAACTTTTACATAGCTATTATTAAATGTTTTTAAACAGATAAAAATGAAAAAGGAGACATTGGAGACCCCTCAGTCTCTGTTCCATTTATCAATCTATGTTTTTCACCATCTTATAAGAACAAGAGTTTGAACAACATAATTGTGAAAAGCTTTGTTCTATTTTTTTTTAATATTATATTCTATTACGGATCATATGTTTCGCATCATCTGATCATTTCTGAAAGTAGTAGGTCTAAATATCAAAAAAATATTAGACATTAATGGCACATAACCTAGAAGTTATGCATGCATGGCATCACTTATTTGTATTCTGAGTTGCCAAATTTAAAAACATTTACTGTTAAGCAGAATTATTTTATAGCTAATGCTAAGTTTTCAACAGTATTAGATTTCAAAAGAATAACCAAATACTCACTTCCATTTATAAGACTCGAATCAGTTGATGATACAGAAGGACTAGGGTTCACAGTAAGCTCCTGTATTTGCTGCAATACTTGCTCTGATAAAGCTTCTGTTTGATGTATGGCTTTAAAAACTCTCCTTCCTTCCACATGACTCAAAGATAACAAGTTTACCCTATTAAAAAAATCCCACTTAATAAAAGTGACACAAAATATATTTTAAACTTTTCTTTAATAGTACTTAGTTAAGACCTATAATTTAAAAGAACTTAATTCTGAATGCATGAGTGTTTATTTGTTACATAGAATTGCAGATATTTTAATTCAAAGAGCAAAAATTTTGGAATTGTGAAATCCTCAAGGGCATTGTTGACATTTGGCAATTTTGGGAAGGTTTGTGAAAACACATTTTTGATGTCCCACAATTGATTCTTTCAGAAGTTTCCAAGGCACATGGTATAAGTATACTAATATGGATTGGAAAGCTAGGGAGTTAAGATATAAATCAGTTGTGAGATTTAATGGTTACCAGAATTACAAATTAAGAATAACCTTGAAAGTAATTTGAGGAACTGCACGATATAGTTTGAGTACTAAGAAAGAATTATTAGACAGCCCTATTCTTCTTGTGTTGTTTCCAGCTATTACTACGCTGTGTGTGCTAGTTATTTTGGTGATATTCACAATAAATCATTCATTTCTTCCTGAATATCAGGACTTATTATTTAAAGAAACATCAAAGATCCCAAAGCTTGCAACAACTAGTGTCAGGAGTAGGATTTCTTCGAATGCCTATAACCAGGAGAAAGGAAGAACATTAAAAGCCAATATCAAAATTATTGCTACAAGTTACATCTAGATGAAAACATCAACTGAATCAAATTTTGCCGAGATGAGGAGGAAAGCAGCACAAATGAAGATATCAATAGAAATGAATACTGCAGAAATGAGTATTTATTTCATTCATCAAAGCAAATGCCACTGAGATGAGAAAGGAAGCAGCAAATATAAACAGGAACTTGCCAGCCCTTTCTGAAATGAAAAACCCTATTGAGGCAAATGTTGCTGAGATGAGGAAAGAAGTAGCAGAAATGAAGAAGTGTACTGTCACCATTGAAGAGAAGTCATCAGTGCTATGAACAAGAAACTAGCTACTGTAGAAGAACAATTATGAATAGAGATAGAGAATGTTAATCAAAAGAGATTTTTGCAGTAAACAAGAAACTGTAAAAAGAGATACAATGGCTAGAAAAACATTTCAAGAATCTGCTTCATATGCAAACAATATACTAGCTCAGCCTGCTTTGAATAGTATTCCAATCCAGTTATCTTGTCTCACAATTATGCTCTTACCATGTTATGGAAAGTCATCATGGAAAGCGCATAAAACACAATGTCTAGTGATTTCTCAAGCAAACTAGTGGGACTCTGTCACCAAAGCATTAAACTTGGCAACCTGATGTTGAGGGGAGGTACCTTAACTTGGCAACTGCTATCAAAACATTAATGCAGCTATCATTTACAGATTGTGGGAGAAAATTAAAGACACACCAAGTCTCCAATATTTTGCAGATACAATCAGTGATTCTGAAATACAAGCACTCTGAATGACAGACAAAGATTTGAAGATCTCTTGTTGATGGCAGAAAAGTCGTGTTTGCTCAGAAGGCCAGAAGAAGAGACATTCATCCTGTAAAGGGTAATAAAAGTATGGATGACACAATGCTGATAGCGATAATGGAATTGATGAAAAGAGTGGATGTAATGGAAGCATCTAAGATGATATGGAGTAATGGGAAAGTATAATGCTGGAACTGTAATGGAGAAAGACATCTACAAAAACAGTGATGTACACCTTCAGTTTAAAAGATGAAAAATATGTCAAATAACAGCAGAGAAACTATGCTCTTTAAATATCTCTCTTCATGATGAAGATTAAAAACTGTATTTCAAAAGAGAAATCAACGGTTTTTTTATGCTGGATGATATAATAGATACCACAGCGAACATGAGTATTCTGCGAGCTATTATAGCCTGCATTTGAATGGGCACATTCTGCTATCGAATCTACAAACTGTGAATGGAAAGAAAAATATCAGTACACAGAAAAAAGATTGTGTGCATCAAATTTGTATCTTATGTACATGAGTACAGTCTAAATGACTAACATATCCAAATTCCTGCATTTTCACACCTCTGTTTTTCACAGAAATTTGAATTTTGTTTAGATGGCAAAAATAATTAATTGCAAACTTCTAATGTAGAAATACCGATGTCTGCAATTAATGAAAATGAAATGAACTGCTGTAGGATAATCGTTCATGCTAAAATTATTATTTCTCCAAAAACAGAGCGCATCATCAGCAGTTCAATGAAAATTCACAAGAAGTTGTGCATGGGGATTACTGATTTATCAAAGGAACCTGCCCATTCGAAAGGACTTTTAATTGCAGCTGCTCTCGTAGACTTAGCGAAAGAAAATGCTCTAATCAGGATTGCCAAAATAAATGACAGGCCTTGTATTTTCTTTAGAGGATAGGGAACAGCTTCATGTTATCCTATGACAAATATAATCTGAAGTTCTGTCATCAGAAACAGAGTCCACCTGATTTAAAAGATCTGTTGAAAGTACAAAATTAAATGCTAAACAAGGTCAAGCTCCAAGTTATATTGTAGAGACATTAAGATTTTTTGAAAGCCAGAGAGATGAAAAATTAGCAACTGCCTTCGCCAGGAATTGAACCACGGACATCTGGAATATCGGCCCAGCATGCAGAACCACTATACCACGAAGGCACGCCAAGAAGGTGGGAGAAATACCTTACATACTCCCAGTTTTAAAGGGCGACTGGGGTTTTTAGGGGACCCAATTGTCAAATCCTGGGTGGGGAGAAATCATCATCCACCATCCTTTTAGTTCGGGCGCCACTGTAGGGACACTAGGATTTTTTTGGAAGCCAGAGATATGAAAAATTAGCAACTGCCTTCACCGGGAATTGAACCACGGACCTCTGGAATACCTGCCCAGAGTGCAGAACCACTACACCACGAAGGCATGCCAAGAAGGCGGGAGAAATACCTTATAATATAATAGAAGAACTGAAAAATGTATTCTCAACCTAGTCTAGTGACGCTGGTTGCATGAATGTGACACCATACTGATTGATGCTAAAACCCTTTGGAATTGACGAAAAGAGTGGATGTAATGGAAGCATCTAAGATGATATGGAGTAATGGGAAAGTATAATGCTGGAACTGTAATGGAGAAAGACATCTACAAAAACAGTGCTGTACACCTTCAGTTTAAAAGATGAAAAATATGTACCTATCAAGCAGCATCCTCAGCACTTTCCAATCACAAAACAAGAGGAAGCTGGGAGACTTCTGCAGCAGACGCATAATGACATTTTTTACCTTTTCTCTAGTACTTAGGTATCACTTATCTTCTTAGATTGGAAGAAATTTGGGTCCCTGAAATTTTGTATTGATTACAGATATCTAAATGACATTATAAAGAAAGACAGTTACCCTTTACACTGACGTGAAAATATCTTAAAGGCATGCTGGCAGGAAATCGTTTATCACTTCAGATTTGAAGAAGGGTTGCTTGGAAAGTGAATATAGAACCTCAAGATTGGCAGAAGACTGCATTTACAAGCAGACAAGGATTCTGGCAGTTTAAAGTAATACCTTTCAGACTATGTAATGCTCCAGTGACATTTGAAATATCTAATGGAGATTATTTTGAAACGGTACTGAATATTATTACAGCAGGACTCAATTGATGACTATTTGAAAATATTCAAACAGCACTATGGAAGCTTAGAGAAGACAATTTAAAATTTAACCCTTCAAAATGTTAATTATTTCTTCATGAAATTAGTTATTTTATTCATATTATCTCCGCCAAAGATGTATGCACTGATCCTGAGAAAATCAAAGCTGTATGTGACTAAAGTCGTCCTGACGGAATGACTGATTAATTTATTGCTGGACTACCACACAGTGTGCAGTTTTTCCAGCTGAATTGAATTAGCCACATGGGCACATCACATGGTACTATCTGCCTATGGTATACCAGAGGAAGCAGAAGTGGAAAAAGAGGGGACCAAGGCATCACGCGGTCAGTAAGCAGAGCGATTATGGACGGCAAGTGGAGACGAGTGTAACATCCTAATTAAAGAAAAAGCACAATGTCTTAAAGTTACAATACAAATACAGAAGGAGTACAAATATAGAGGGGAAAACATATGCACTGTATACAAGATATTGTTCTATACTGCACGCTACTGATCATTAAGTAGGAAAATTAAGAGTCATTTGCAAGGTGGGCCGCTAGTGGTCGAGTTTCACAATCCTCATCTAGAATTGTATATTTTAGCATATTTAAATTAGACAAATGGGTGCAGTTGAGAATTTTCATGAAAAAATTCCTATTAAGTTTGTGCAGATGCTGCTCAATTGTACTAAGTTTCAAGTCTCTGGGTAGAGTTGCGTTGCTGACGTAGAATGTCATCCTTGAGGTGTTTATATGTTTATAAGCTTTCTCCTCCTCTGCACTTATGACTGAAGATTTCTGAAATTTACCTGAGATTACAATCTTTACACCACAAAACAGGAAACAAAGCAAAAGTTCTCACGGACTGATCAGTATGAAGAAGCATTTAAAATTCTGAATGATGCTTTGATTTCCTCTCTTGTTTCCCAAATGGAATATGGCTTTATTCTCGATACAGATGGCAGCTCAAGTGAATAGGCGGATACAGCAGCTCAGCAGCTACATGAATATGACATGGAAATTTGACACTGCAGAGGACCTTTGAATGGGAATTTTGATGCACATTCAAGAAGACCTTGCACAGAAAAGTGGACACAGACTGTTCAAAAGCCAAGTTAAAATACGGAGTTCCAGCAGTAGGAAAAATTAACATAGACACCTTAATTTCACAATCTGATCTCTGGAGCACTGAAGAACTGAGAAAAAACCAAATGGATGATCCTGATTTTTTGCATATTCATGGAATTAATGGAAACAACAAATGAAAAATTCAGCTTGCAAGAAACAGTATACTTTAGTTTGACAACGAAAAGATATCGGGCTTTATGAAATTTCCTTCACCTGCATGATGGAGTTCTCTACCACAAATGAGATGACAACGATAGAAAGAGTTTCAAATGACATCTCTCTTACTAAGATCTCGATATCTTACTAAATGCTTCATAGCTTAGTGCAGCTGTACTAAAAATCATTTTGATGTAATGAAGACACTCCACAAAGTTTGCCAAAGTTTCTTTTGGTACAAAGCCAAAGCATGTGTAGAAATGTGATACAAATTCTGTGATGTATGTAGAGCTTGAAAAGGCCTGCAATCACATATATGAAGAAGATCACAAGACTAATGTGGAAGCACCATCCAAGAGGATTTCTTACGGTATTCTCGGATATTTACCTCACACAACTAGGGGAACAAGCACATCTTAGTTGTTATGGACTAGTTTAGTAAATAGCTTGGATGTTTATGCATCTAATGAAGAAGCTTCAACTATTGCAGAAGTTCTAGTGAAGAAATGGATTTCATGTTTTAATAGTGCATTTTCTTATTTATTCTGACCAAGGAGCAAACTTCATATCTTGTACATTTAAAGAACTTCATAGAATTATCAGAATGGAGAACAGTCAAACCACTCTTTTACACCTGCACTTAGAAGACATGGTAGAAAGATTCAATCAAACAGTCTTGGACCATCTTTCTCTGTCTATTAGTATCTCAGAGACAGCAGGACTGAGACCCGAAACTGCCATCATTTCTGCTAGAGTATAGGACTGCCACTCGTGAGAACACTGGATTTTTTTCAACTGCAAATGCTTTTTCACTGTGATCTTCCGATGTGTTCATCGGATGGTCACTGGACACACTTTCTTCACCTCAGCAGTTTATGGAAGATCTGCAGGCACATTTAGAAGATGTACAGAGATTCACCAGAGGAACAATCAATACAGACACTGAGAGGAAATTCAAGGAAAGAAATCAAGTCCATGGAAGGAGCTCAAGTTCAAGGAAGGAGTCAAGCTTGAAGCATCGTTGCAGGATCTCTCCCAAGCTACAAGCATCCTCAGAAGGGCTCTACCATGTGATCAAGAAATTAATGATGTAGGGATGATCATACAAAGAATTCCTTCTTCTAAATATAACTTGATGCACTATGACAGACTTGCACCTTATTAGGGCAATGAGAATTTGTTGTGCTGGTCTTGGGGATTGCACTGCCCAGAATGTGCAGTCTTTAAGGGTGGGGATGATGATGTAAGTATTTCAGTCCTTTCAGACTGTATTTTTTCCTGTCTTGTGGTGTTTTATATTATTCTACTTATTAATTGCTTTTAGGTTGATAATTTTGGGATTTATTTTGTGTTTAATTTAATTTGTGGCCACATGTCTTGCATTTATGTGTTACACAGAACTGCAGATCTTTTAATCCTGAGTGGAATGATGGAACTGTGAAAACAGCTCTATTTGAATACAAGATATAGGCAATTTCATTCTTAACAGGACTTGAACGACTTTCTGGAAGAATAATGCAAACACATTTTTGAAGCCCTATGACCGATTCTTTGAGAAATTTCCACTGCCATGCTCCAGTGTATAAATATGGATCTAAAAGCTGTGGAGTTAAATTGTGAACCCAATGTGAGATTTAGTGGCTAAATGAATTATAAATTAGGAATAACATAGTGTGATTTGAAAAACTTCCATGTGCTAAAGGAGAATCCCTGTTCTTGTCGAGTTATTTTCAGATAATATTGTACTGCGTGTGCTACGCTGATTTTCATAATAAATTACTCATTTCTTCCTGTATATCTGGATTTATTATTTAAAGAAAATCCATGATTTCATAGCTCACAACAATATATCATATGTATGTAAAACATAAAATATGAAATAAATTATTATACTTAATTGGAACCAATTGGCAATAGACCTTTTAATTGATAAATTTCAATTAAACACATCCCCACTGCAAGGATATGCTTTGCTGCACTCTGCAGTATGTTAAATCATTCTTTCCCTCTGCACTATGAAATCTTCAGATCAATTGCTGCTCAGGATTAAGATAAAGACTTTCTGGCTTATAAATATGACCATAATTAGTACATATCACTTTTTCTCGCCTGCTGCTTGAATAAGTTATGTCTCACACTTTGCCTTCTTTCTTTATTATCCGAAAAGTAAACTGCATATATAGAAATTATGGGGCATATTTAGCCCACTGGTGTGTTATCATTTGAAGCTAAGATTTATTTCTGAAGAATTCTTCCTGTTCAAAATAAAAATAATGTCTTTAACAATCAATCCAATTATGATTTTCTCTCCTGTCATCTGTGCAACAGTTTTCCTCAATCATGACTAAAGCATGAATTTGTTTCATCTTCCATAAAAACTACATCACGTAGCTATATGTTTTTCTATATTCAAATATGAGACAGTTCATGAAATAAATAAGAGTGCATAGTGAAACAAACACTATGTTTCTCAAGCATTTCATCTGCTTTCTCATTGCAATTGTAAATAGTATAATTATTCTACAAATTTCTCCTTTACTAACACGAATACTTTCTTCTCGAAAGAATTTCCTCTCTCCAAGCCCTTTTCTCTTTGAAGGGGGTGATATGTAAAATACAAAATATAAAACAAAATTATTAAACTTAATTGGAACCAAGTGACAGAAGACCTTTTAATTCAAAAATTTCAATTTAACACATCCCTGCTTCAAGGACAAACTTTGCATCATTCAGCAGCATGTTACATCACACTTTTCCTGCAATTTTTCTTACTATGTGATCTTTTGCCCAATCACCACTTATGATTACACATGAAGTTCTTCTGGCTTATAAATATGACCACAATTCGTATGCATCATGCAGCAGTTTTCTTCAACCATGATTAAAGAGTGAATTAGTTTCATCTTCTGCAAAAACTACAATATCACATATACATATTTTACATGCAGAGCATACACGAGACAAACCAAATCAAGGTACAAGGCCAAGATTAAGAAAACTACAGTTGTAATGCAAATCACAGATTAAACTTTACAGTAAAAAATATATATAGATATATATATATATATGAGTTTTGTATGAATGTGTTATTATTACTGAGAATATATTATTATTATTGTAATATTTTGCAAAGCAGTCAGAAAGCAAATATATAACTAAAACTGCATTCTTATATTAGCTTAGATATTTAAAAATTATTTTCTTAACTCTTCTGAAGATAAAGAATTAATGAAATTAAGTTATTCAATTAGAAATAAATACATAAAAAGTTTTTAAAAAGTAAACATAATTTATTTAGTTTTTGTAATGAAATATAATAACATATAATTCATTAGAAAAATTAAGACTGTGCCATTACCCTTCCTTTCCTCCAGCTAAGCTTTCACCAAGCTTGCATAATCGAACTGAACGTAACCACATTGATTCTTCATCACTAGGTGTAGCTGCATTCAAACTAAATTTCAGACGCCTAGTATTGAATAAATAAATAATAAACAAATCAAATAAATGCTGTTTTACTATTCAAAGGTAATACCATTGAAATGAAGTTATTCAATACTTATTAATTAACTTTATGAATATATGTTAGAAATTATGCGAGGAATGCATAATAAAAATAAAATGCTCAAATTAACAATAATGCAAGATTTAACACATGGGCCAGCAATTATTAATAAATTTTTAATCAATAAAATCTTTCAACAAAAAAAAAAAAAGAGAGAGAGAGAGAGAAATAAGAAGTCCCACAATTTATTTTTAGGAAAGTAAAAAAAGTAGTTAAGGTATATTTTTTTACCATGGTTTTTCAACTGGGGAAGAGGGATTTCATACTTTCATGACAGAATGCAGTCAATGTTTTATTTAGCAGCTAAGTAAGTTTATGGGTATAAAAAAACTATTATTATTCAACTTCTGGTATTTATCAACATTTTCTATATGTTTTTGTTGTTTAATTTATAAACACATATAAAAAAATAATCTAAGGCAAAATAAATCTTTATGCAATTTTCAAGTTTGGGAAAGGAGAAAAAAATGATCTACTAAATGGTGAAAGGGATGCAAGAAACAAAAAAAGTTTGAGGACCACTGTTTTAGATAACATGCTATTTTTATCAAAACAGAAGACAACAAAATCAAAGCAAACTTAAAAATTAAGCAAAACAGCAACCTTGTTTGGTGCAAAGTTTAATTGAAACTCAATCACTTTCAAAGGCACACAGATATAGGTCTGTATTCATAAGGAGCAAAAAAGAATCTTAGAGCATTTTCTCCCATGGTCCTAGATAAAGGTTTTCATCTTACTATTAAACACAGCACTCTGCTGTTAGAAGTAACATTAATAACCTTGTCATCATTACATTTTATCTTTCTATCAGTTAACATCATAAATTTCAGATCAAGGAACACGAGTCTTCGAAAATTATGTTTGAAAAAAAGAAATCTTTGACTAATCATAGTTGGAAATTTAACTATAATTTTGACTTTTAGGTCTGTAACAATTACCCATAAAGCTTCTTCAGTCACTGAAATTGGATTTCCTTGAAGCTCCTCATATTCAACATATCTTTAATTAATGGTGTAGTTTCAATGAAGGCCTTTCAAATACTTTTAAAATTTTAATACCTTAATTTCTCTCTCTCTCTCTCTCTCTCTCTCTTTTTTTTTTTTTTTTTTTTTTTTTTTTTTTAATACTATTCTGATGGAAGATGGGACTATGCTCACGTTCCCTTTGCTCTACTCTTTACTTCTTTGCTTTCTATAAATACAGTCTTTGCTCTCCCCTTTTTTCACAGAAATTTTTGCTCCTGACAATGATGGACATATATCTTTCCTTCCTTAAAATCGATAATCTCAATTAAAATGCACAGCAAAGTGGCAGTTTTGCTTAATTTTAAATGGTAATTTTACATTAATTCTTTCCAAACTAATGCACCAGAAACCAGGTTATTTGACTTATTAATCTGTATATGCTCATCTGGTTTTGGCAATAGAATTTGTTACTATTTACAATTAAAAGTATATGGGCTGCAACTGGGTTAATTAATTAGGCTTTAAAGTTATTTATTGATTCTAATAAGAAGCATTTGTATTTCTAATAATTAGATATACTTCTAATAAGAAGTGGCAGATAAGTTTGTTAAATTTTAGTTATATCTATAAAAAGTAATTTTAATAAACTGTTTAATTTATTTTTACCTCTAGTTTGGTACCTCAGATTTCTAGTTAAATGTGAACATAAAAAGTCCTGAAAGTGAGTGAGTGAGTAAGAATTTATTGGCACAAAACCAAAGATGATTAACATGCGCCAAACACAGGATGGGATGATTACAAATGATGAAATTAAAATATAATAAATAAAAACAAGTGGACAAATGTACCAAATCCAGAGGATGAAGTCATAAAAACAAGGTAAAAGCTCACATTAAAATCCGACACACAATCTTCAAAACAAATTACATTAGGTAGTAAAAGCCAGTCTCTTTTAAATAATAAAATAAATTACAATTAGCCTCTCTTCCAATTAAACGGTCGAGAGGTAAGTTACAGCTATTAAAATATTTCTGACGAAGACTATTAAAACATGGACACTCAATTAAAATATGACGGACAGATAGACAAACTTCACAATTTGAACAAACAGGCTCACTCTCAGCTTTTAAAAGGTAGTTATGTGTAACTCTAGTGTGACTGAGGCGAGTCATAAGAACTTCCTCCTTACAGTTTCTAGTTAATTCCCAATGCTCAATTCTAGGCTTTACATGTCTTAACTTGAAGCTGAAGACCCCAAAGTTGCTGCCATTTTTTCGGATCTTCTCTTTGACTACACAACAGATGTCTCCAAAAGGGATGAGGCGACTGGACAGTTCAACAGCACATTTCGCTGTGATATCTGCCATCTCATTCCCTTTTATTCCCACACGACCGGGAACCCAGCAGTACAGGATTCCATATCCACGACTCGTTAAGTTTATATGTATCTTGAAAACATCCACTATGACTGGATTTTGAGTGTTATAAAAAGTTTCTAATGATTTAAGTGCACTATAGGAGTCTGTATAAACTATAAACTTTTTGTGGCAGAGCCTTGAGATGTACAAAAGACTATAATATATTGCAATTAGTTCAGATGCTAAAACAGAGAAAGCATGGTACAAGCGTCTACCCTCCATCCCGACATGATCTTTTGACTTGGATCCATCTGTGTATACTGGATGATAACTGCTATATTTGTGCCTGTGCTCAGCAAAGAGTCATCTGTAAATGATCTCGTTAGTTTTTGCCTTCACGTGATGCTTGAAAACATCAAGAAGCTGAATCCATGCATTTTCCCAAGGTGGAATTTCAAAATTCTGTACTGCTTGGGGGCACATATCAGAGAGGGAAAGTTCCTCAATGACAGGGCGAACTCTTAAAGGAAAAGGAACACAGGATGGATGTGTTTCAAATAAAGTGTACACACTTATCAAGTAAGCACAGCTTATTGGGACGTTCAGTTGGATAGAATATTAAAATATTGCAAAAGGGACAATTGCTCATGCCTCGATAAAGTGATGGTTCATTAGAGTCAATACAGGCTCTGGACAGGAGAAGTCCTGAAAGCTCCTGAACAAATCCGCAGAGCTTGATGGTGAACAGGATCCATTTTGTTTTAAACAATACTAATGACCGAGCCATAGTCCGTTTAGAGCGGACAGCGCTCTGTAAATGGAAGCAAGAGCAACGCTCCTGCACCCCAAGAGGTGTTCGCCAAATTTTAAAATATTTAGTGTTTATAAACACTTCTTTCTCAGGTTTAAAACATAAGAAAGGAAAGTTAATTTTCGGTCGAACATTACTCCTAAAAATTTTACTTTGGGCACAACTGGAATAATTGTACGATTCAGATATAACTCAGGCTCAGGATGGAGACCTCGCTTCCTACAAAAGTGCACGCACAATGTTTTCTGTTTCGAAAATGTAAATCCCTGTTTGTCTGACCATTCTTGGATCTTATTCACAGCCATCTGCAATTGCCTCTCTACGTATCTCATGCCAGCTAATCTGTAAATCATCAACATATAGAGATCTCAAGATGGTGGGAGGAAGTTCTTTTAATACAGAGTTTATTTTTAAACTAAACAGGGTTACACTAAGCACACAGCCTTGAGGCACACCCTCTTCCTGTTCAAAAACATCTAACAAAACAGAGCCAATTCTTACTTGAAAAGTTCTAGTGTTCAAGAAATTCTGAATGAAAATTGGTAGGTTGCCGCGCAAGCCACTCTCATGAAGATCTCAAAGTATACCGTATCTCCATGCCTTATCATAAGCTTTCTCAATGTCGAAGAATACCGAGACAAGGTGGCTTCTTCTTACAAATGCTTTTTGAATGGATGTTTCTAAGAGGAGCATGTTATCTACGGTTGTTCTCCCCTTTCGAAAATCGCTTTGATAAGGTGATATAATATTATTCTTTTCCAAGAAGTAGACTAAACGGCTGTTTACCATTTTTTCAAACAGCTTGCATACGCAACTCGTAAGGGCAATTGGCCGATAGTTGGAGGGATTCCTTGGATATTTCCCTGGCTTAGCAATAGGAATTACAACAGCTCTCCTCCATGCACTGGAAAAGTATGCTCCTTCCACACTCTATTGTAAAGAGTGAGAAGGGCATTCAGTGACTTATAGGACAGATGTTTTAGCATTTTGTAATTTATACCATTAAAACCCGGAGAAGACCTATGTGTCTGCACCAAAGCTCTCTTTAATTCCAGCATAGTAAATGTTCTATTGTAAGGCTCAGATTTGGAAGAGTTGAATGCGATGGGATTTATTTCAGAGTGCTGCTTGATAGAGAGAAATGCAGGTGAATAGTTTTGCTGGAAGAACGGCAGCAATATCTCACCATATATTTGCTGGTGTCTATGATGGAGCATAGCTGAATTAAAGCTGAGTTCAGGCCGTTGATACAAGAATGTTCAAGTGGTAAAGAAGCCTGGGAAGTTCTACAGAAGCATTCGAACCCAAAACAAGAGCAAGTAATTTCAGTTACTGGAATGAATTTTTAATATTAGATACGCCAAATGAGAAATAGGATTATTCATCGCCAGGATAAGAATGACTGCAAAGAAGTTGGCTGAAGCTGGTCACAACTTGGCAGATCTTTTTAAAGGATTCCAGGCAATAAGGAGATTACCCCAGGAAATACTCCGGCATTGTACAGTTGATCTAAATGGAAAGACGAAGATTTTACGCTGAAAGAGGCTGAAGAATTGGTAAGGGAGGAAAGCCGACTCGCCAGGTAAAGGCGATTTAGAAGACAGTAAGGTAAGCATTTTAATACTATTGATTCAAATGCAGGGAAAGATAAAGTTGAAAATAAAATTAAATCTAGAAAAGGATGGGAATATGAGAATAGGACCTTGTTTCAGATGTCATAAAATTTGGGCACTTAATGCTCAATGTAAGAAATGTAAGTAAAAAAGTTTA